GGTCAGCTTGATGCTGGCTTTAATCCTCACGAGACGACCAGCACATCTTCCACGGCGCCTGGAGCGATGTTTTCGGGCGTGCAGGAACGCTGCGCGCTGCAGGTAAACAGGTACATCAACAAGCAGACGGGGTGGGGGGTCCAGAGCCCGGATCTAATTGGTCGAACAAGGCGGGGTTTTCAGTAGATAATTGTAAATTTAAAAGTTGTTTGAGATCATAAACAAGCAGTGAGTTGATGTCACCGAGGAAAAATGACAAAAACAGACCCCCCCCCCCCCCCCGATCAAAACAGACAGAGGTGAACAGCAAGCCATCAGCACCGGCGCCATCTTCCCTGAAGTCTCAGCAACCTTAAGTGGGTCACGCTAAGCTTATAAATCAAAAGAACTTAGGACAAAGTTGATTTTTTAAATAAATTTGGAACCCTCTTAAGGTCGTCTTCTACCATCTAGTGGACAAAAGAGGGACAGTTCTCAGTGAAAGTTGGTAGCCTTTCCTGTTTTATTGGTCCCAGTCATAAAGAGAACATTTAGGAAGGAGAACTCTTTCTGAATAAGGAAAATGTAAGTGAGCCATCTACTGTTACGAGCAGCCTGCAGCACCCAACAGGCTGTTTTAGGTTCTGACATCAGACAAGCTGAACTGAGCTGCTGCAGAATCCTGACCCATCCAGACTTTCAGTGGCACTGATCCAATCAAGGTTGGAGATAACAAGAACCGAGAACACCAAGCAGCAGATCTGCAGAAGCCCATTACTGTCAGTACAAAAACAAAATCCTGTCATTTTTACTTTGATTTCACAAAGGTAAAATGTTTTACTTTAAAAATTTAACTAAACTCTTAATTTACATCTTGAATTCTAACTGACATTTTCCTGGCACAAATCTGTCGGATCATCCTCTGCAGCCGTCCTGCTGTGTGACCATAGCTGCAACAACATGCAACGAGTTACTGGTGGTCCAGGTGTCCATCCCGGGTTAGCAGAGAACACAGGGAGCGAGTCTACAGCTCCACATTAGGTCATGCAGCCAGATTAAAACAGAAGATTACAACTTGATCTGCGGTGATTTTCAGAGTTTGCCCAAAGCTGCTCTCCTGAACAGCTACATGGATCTCTTCATGCACTTGAGGTTGTTCTCATCTGAGCAGAGCGGATTTTAGATCTGCAAAATCGAAGAAAGAAAAGGTTAAAAGGTGGAACATTTGCAAATGAAGGTGTGTGTGGTGAAGAAGTACCTGGGTGCCTTCTCTGCACTCTGTTTGGCTTGAGAGGAGCCCTTAAACTGTGCTTCCAGGCTCGCATAGATCCCCCCTGCAGGCTACAACACACACACACGGATCACAGCTCTGACAGCGTACCATCGATCAGCAAGTCCATCTCTAGTATCTCAGATTCCTAAAAGAAAAGCATGAAGGTGATGCAGCTCATGATCAGACCTCTTTAGTGTCTTTGTAGTTACACTCCTCGTGGTCTCCAAACCTCATCTTGGTCAGGTGGCCATTGATCTCCACCATACGGCGCTGGTCTGCTCAGACGAACAAAAGAAAACAGATCAAATAAACTCAACAAATACAAAACTTTGCAGGTTTGCATCGAGGCATCATTTACCTTCTTCTCTTTGAGCATCCTGGTTGTAGCGCAGGGAGCGAGAGCTGTCCCACTTACTCTTCTGAATGTTTCCACTGTAACATACACGCGCACACACATACACATGCACGTCACACACACACACACACACACACACAAACCTGAATGATGGCAGCAGGCAAACATCAAGCGATGTGCAGCAGGTACAGAAATCCTGGTGAACTTACGTGAAAGGTGAGTTCTCCCGGTTCTGGGACTGAGAAGACAAAAATAAAGCTGCTTTATTGCTTCTTTGTCAGGTGAATGTGAATCAACGTACCAAAGTTTCATAAAACATCTTTACTACGAAACACAAATGACTTCTACATCTGTGTGTTTATAAAGTGGGATACAAGGATCCACCGGTTATTTTTGGATTTCTAGCTTTAAAACCTGATATCCAAGTGGATTTTGAACATGATAGGTACTGTATTTTTTGCTGTATAAGTCACATTTTTTGTGCATAGTTTACATGCCCTGCAACTTATACACCGAAGTGACTTAATTATGGATTTTTTCCCTATATTTAGAAAACCATTTTTGGCTGAGATATGACCATTTTCATTCATTCTGACTGAAAATATTGAACACTATTTTTTTCAGCCACTAGATGGCAGCAGAGTAGTATCAGAGTCAGAGAGTCAGAGATTCTTTATTGTCATTCGCACCTCATGTGGTACAGGTGGTGGAGTGAAATTATGTCCACAGGGTCCCAGTTACATCCAACAATAAAATGTATAAGAAAAACAGTAATAACATCTAAGATATGAACTAGGAAAAACATCAACTAAATATACACTAAGCACTCATAACATAAAACATTGAACAGCAGCACAAACATGAACATGAGTCTGTGAGCAGATGTGCACGCATGAACACATCAACAATGAAACAGATCAGCA